TCCATGATGAAAAAGGAAATATCACAACAGACACTACAGAAATACAGAAGATAATTAGAAATTATTTTTAAAACTTGTACTCCAGTAAAATAGTAAATATTGAAGGCATTGGCAAATTTCTAGAGTCATATGATTTGCCTAATTGAATCAGGATGATATACACAATTTAAACAGATCAATTTCAAGTGACAAAATAGCAGACACCATCAAAAGTGTACTAATCAAGAAAAGCCTAGAACAGGAAGGATACCCAGCCTAGTTCTACAAGACCTTTAAAGAACTAATACCAATACTCTTCAATTTATTTCAGAAAATAGAAAAAGGGGGAGCACTTCCAAACTCATTCTTTGAGGCCAATATCACCCTGATTCTAAAACCAGGCAAAGACACATCAAAGAAAGAAAACTTCAGACCAATATCGCTAATGAACATAGATGCAAAAATTCTCAATAAAATTCTGGAAAATCAAATACAAAAACATACCAAAAAGATAGTGCACCACAATCAAGTGGTGTTCATCCCAGGGATGCAAGATTGCCTCAACATATGGGAATCAATAAATGTAATTCATCATCTAAACAGACTTAAAGATAAGAACCAAATGAGCATCTCAATAGATGCAGAAAAAACATTTGACAACATAGAGCACCCCTTCATGTTCAAAACACTAGGGATAACTGGAGCATATCTCAACATTGTAAAAGCTACCTATGCTAAGCCCCAGGCCAACAGCATACTAAATGAAGACAAATTGAAAGCATTCCCTCTAAAAACTGGAACAAGACAGGAATGCCCTCTTTCACCGATTCTATTTAACATAGTTCTTGAAACACTGGCCAGAGCAATTAGACAGGTGAAAGAAATTAAAGGGATATGGATCAGAAAAGAAGAACTCAAATTAGCATATTTGCTGACAGTATGATTCTATACCTAAAAGACCCCAAAAAAAATTCCACAAGAAAACTTCTAGAACTAGTAAATGAATTCAGCAAAGTATTGGGATACAAAATCAACACTCATAAATCAAAGACATTTCTGTATACCAGTGACAAATCCTCTAAAAGTTAAATGAGAAAAACTACTCCATTTACAATAGCCTCAAAAAAATACTTGGGAATCAAGCTAACAACATAGGTGGAAGACCTTTACAATGAAAACTATAGAATGCTAAAGAAAGAAATTAAAGAAGACCTTAGAAGATGGAAAAATCTCCCTTGTTCTTGGATAGGCAGAATTAATTTTGTCAAAATGACCATATTACCAAAAGCATTATACATGTTTAATGCAATTCCAATCAAAACCCCAATGACATTTCCCATAGAAATAGAAAAATCATTCATGAAATTCATCTGGAAAAATAAAAGACCCAGAATACCCAAAGCAATCCTTAGCAGGAAGAGTGAAGCAGGTAGCATCACTATTCCAGACCTTAAACTATATTACAGAGCACTAGTAACAAAAACAATATGGTGTTGGCACCAAAACAGACTGGTATACCAATGGTACAGAATAGAGGATACAGAGACAAACCTACATAATTATGGTTATCTTATATTAGACAATGGTACCAAAAACATACATTGGAGAAAAGATAGCCTCTTCAACAAATGGTACTGGGAAAACTGAAAAGCCATATTCAACAAAATGAAATTGTATGAGTGTGCCTTTCTCCCCACATCCTTGCCAACACTTATTGTTGTTTGTATTCTTAATAGCTGCCATTCTGACTGGAGTGAGATGAAATATTAGAGTAGTTTTGATTTTCAATTCTCTAATTGCTAGAGATGTTGTACATTTTTTCATATATTTGTTGATTGATTGTATATTACCTTCTGAGAAGTGTCTATTCAGTTCCTTGGTCCATTATTGATTGGGTTATTTGTGTTTTTAGTGTTTAGATTTTTGAATTCTTTATATACCCTAGAGATTAGTGCTATATCTGATGTGCAAGTGGTAAAAATGTGCTCCTAAGCTTTGGGCTCTCTATTCACCTCACTGATTGTTTCTTTTGCTGAGAAGAAGCTTTTTAGTTTGAATCCATTTCATTTATTAATTCTTGATTTTAATTCTTGTACTACAGGAGTCTTATTAAGGAAGTATAGACCTAATCTGACATGATGGAGATTTGGGCCTATTTTTTCTTCTATTAGATACAAGGTCTCTGGTTTAATTCCTAGGTCCTCGATCCACTCTGAGTTGAGTTTTGCACTCATACATTGCTGGTAGAACTGCAAAATGGTGCAGCCAATCTGGAAAGCAGTATGGAGATTCCTTGGAAAACTGGGAATAGAACCACCTTTTGACCTAGTTATCCCACTCCTCAGTCTATATCCAAAGGACTTAAAAACAGCATACTATAGAGACACAGCCACATCAATGTTTATAACAGCACAATGTTAATGTCACAATGACTAAACTGTGGAACCAACCTAGATGCCTTCAGTTGGTGAATGGATCAAAAATGTGATACATACATACATACATACATACATACATATACATACACACACAATAATATTACTCAGCAATAAAAGAGAATAAAATCATGGCATTTGCAGGTAAATGGGTGAATTTGGAGAATATAATACTAAGTGAAGTTAGCCAATCCCAAAAAACCAAATGCCAAATGTTTTCTCTGATATAAGGAAGATGATTCATAGTGAGATAGGGAGCAGGAACATGGGAAGAAGAGATGAACTCTAGATTGGGGAAAGGGGTGGGAGGGGAAGGGAGAGGTTGGCATGGAGTAGAAAAGATGATGGAATGAGATGGATATCATTATCATAAGTACATATATGAGGACATAAATGGTGTGAATATACTTTGTATACAACTAGATATTTTTAAAATTGTACTCCATATGTGCAATATGAAGTATAATGCATTCTGCTGTCAAATTAGAATTTAAAAATTTTTTAAATGTGGATATTTAAATATTATTGGAGTTTTGCTACAAATTATCAATTTTGTACTCTTAAATAAACCATTTTATGTATTATAATGTATTTAATTCTTCACATCCAAGAAATTACTTAAATAAAAAGTATTTTAAGATGCAGCAGATACAAAGCATATTTGTTCTTCAAATGTAGATCAAAAACTATTTTAACGTAGTTCTTTATAGGTTTTGTCTTTAAAAGAAGGTATTTTCCAGGATGAATAGGAAAATCCAAATACATACCACATATTAGGTGATTCACATTTCTTCCTAATACATTTTCTCTATATCACCATAGTAACAGTCAAGTGGGTCAGCCGTTTGGAGAACACCATTGACAGCAAGTCCTTTTATATGCAGTCCAGTTAATCATTGTGAAGAAACTTGTGTGTATTGACTTATTTGCCATGTGAAACCCGGGGCTATGAATTTGCAGAATGAGCTTTCATTTACACATAAATATTTTGGGGATGACGTGAGTCACTCTGCTACCTCAGTTCACTCTAAACTCAGTAACTTAACTTGTAACTAAATTAGTGTGTGTACCCAGGAACAGCTTGGAAAATTGGACTGTGCTCTATTCTGATAGGACAGATAAAGAAATTTTCAGAAAAATTTCTTTTCAAAAAATTCTCTTCCATCATCCCAGTTAAATTATGTCAAATAGGGGTAGATGTTTTAGTTGTTTATTAAGTAAACAGATTAATGTAATTAACAACCTGAGTTTCTTCTATCACAAATATAGACACAAATCTCTTGGCTCTCAAAGCTCTCAATCCTTATCCTTGTGAAGAGGCAAATGAAATGAGGTGAATGTACCTTCTCAGACAAATGCAGCCAAATTTATTATCTGTTCAATATGTAAACACAGTAATGATTTTATTATCTACATTTCAATTAAAAGAATTTATATCTTCTTTCTCATAGCCACATAATAAAATATTTATTTTACGTTAAAAAGCTTTTGCATAGCAAAGGAATAAACAGAGTGAAGAGACAACATATAGAATAAAAGAAAATCTTTGCTAGCTATTCATCTGAGAAGAATTAATATTCAGAATATATAATGAACTTTAAAAACTAACATCAAAGTGACAAAGTAACAGTAAAAAGAAAAAAAGGCAAATGTTCATGATCTCATCCTCTTGGGATACTGAGGCAGGAAAATCTCAAACTCAAAGCCTACCTGGGCACCTAAATTAGACACTAACTCAAAATACAAAAGGGCAGGGGTATAGTTCATCAGTAGAGGGCTTTGCCTCCCATGTGTATAGCCTTCGGTTCATTCCTCATTACCAGAAAAAACAATGAACACATAATMCAAACAGTTACTTCTCAAATGAAAGACAAATGGCCAAATAAATATGTTGAAAAAAACATTCAATATTCTCAGCCATTGTGGAAATGCACATCAAACCTACATTGAGATTCTACTTCACCCCAATCAGAATGGCTATCAGGAAAAAAAAAACTTCTAATATTCATATGGAGAAAAAAGAACCCTTATACACTATTGATGGGAATGTGGGAATGTAAACTAGTATAACCACTATGGCAGCAGTACAAGTTTCCTAAAAAAACTAAAAATAGAACTACTACATGATCCAGTTATGCCACTTCTGGGAATACTTAAGAAAGACTTACATACCTGTCTTCACCTATTTAAATAGTCAAGTTATAGAATTGGGCTAGGTGTCTATAAACAGATGAATGGATAAAAAATATGAGATATACACAATATAATATTATTCAGACATGAAAATGAAATCATATCATTTGTAGGAAAATAGATGGAACGGTAGGTCATCATGTTCAGTAAAATCTGCTAGAAAGAAAATCAAGTACAGCCTATTTTGTTTCATACTTGGAAACTTTAAAAAAAAAAGTGGGGGGACTATTAGAGAAGGTTGAGGGAAAGAGAGGTTAATAGGGAAAGATGATAAAATTAAAGCACAACATATGCACATATTGAAATGTCACAGTGAAGTCCATTGATTTGCATAATTAATGAATTAACATTTATGATAAAAATATGTACACTTAAAAAGTAAATTATCTTTACCTGAAGTTTGTTGAATCATATATTCTGCATGCCCCTGGCTTACCACATTTCAAAGTTCCCCAATGTAAACAGGTAGAGTCCACTAAAGCTCCAAAATATATTGGTGCTGGAATGCCAGCTATAATTATCAGAAAAAGAAAACTTCATCAACAAGTTAAGAATTAAGAGACATTATTTTTTTGGCAAATATTTCAATTTCCCCTATATGATTAACAAATACTGTGTAAAAATATAAATCAAATGCTCTAAATTTTACTTTATAAATGTTCTATTACTGTATAAGTAACATACATATAATATAGTTTCTAGATTATAAAAAATAAGTCATGATAAATAAAATACAACAAAATTATTGATAAAATAAAACAGTGAATAAAAGTAGATTATATTTTCTGAAATGTTTTGGAAAAAATTATGTGTACATTTCATTTTAACAAAATATTTCCTATTTATTCTCAAGTATTATTGAAGAGAGGTGTAATTAAGTTTTGATAGGAGAAATGAAAGGGAGAAATTCTCTATCTTCCTACATAATTCATTCTCAATACTAATTAAGAATTGCTTATAAACAGAAGGCATATTCCTAAACTGTTATTCTGAGAGAATTATTTCATTTATAGTTTATTAGTATGTATCATACTAGGAAAAATAACATCCTACCAAATATTCTTGTGCAAAATGCATGTAATCCCACACCAAGAGACTTCTCTTCAGATTTGATACACCTAATAAAAAAGGAAATTTATAATAAGCAAAGGTAAAGATTTTAAACCTATCAGAGTTTCTGAAAAAGATTATGCATGCTATTAACAAACACTGAATATTTGAAAAATGTACTTCCATGATCAGGCCTTGGTTACTTAGGGTCTGATTATTCTGCTTGTACCCAAATAGGAGCCCAATTTCTGATCCCTAGAATTTTACCCATCACTTTTTGCTCAGTCAGGTGTGTGCAGGGACACTAGAAATGAATCCAGAGGTGCTCTATCAGTGAGCTACATTCCTGGTCCTTTTTTATTGAGACAGGTTCTCTCCATGTTGCCCAGGCTATAGTTGAACTTAAAATCCTCCTGCTTCAAAAGCTTCTGAGTAGCTTGGATTGCAAGTCTGTGCCATCATACCTAACTTTCTTATTCTCTCTCAGAAGAATATATTTCATTTCAATCCATTTTTATCCCAGTATATTTATATTGACAGTAGTAGTTCTTGATCTGAAAGGTTAAACCTTTAGCTGAAAGCAAAAACAGCACAACCTAGCTTTTTCAAATTATCTGCATTAATAAGATGGAGGAAATTTCAGATAAAGGAAATGTAACTTACGTGAGTAAGTATAAGAAAAAAGAAAAGCAATAATAAAAACTTTCCAAATAAAGTGATTTTAAAAATTCCAAAGCAAAACTATTTTAAGTGATTTGACATAATTTCAAGAGTTGAACAGAGATTTCTCCATTTTCTGAAAAAATTTTCCTTGCTTTTCATTGTTGTCTGGAATTCCCATATGTGGAAATTTACACTCCAGACAACATTGGAGTGTAAATGAAAACTATACTGCAATAGTATTTTTGATGTCTCAAACACTTCTGCATCAGCATGGCTATATGCTCAAAAAGTTCACTTTAAGAACTTCCCTGTTCTACCTTTCCTTTTCTGATTAACTCAAAGTTGAAAAATATTAATGTCACTTTCTTCAGAGTATATTTTTAACAAAAACTACATTTCATTGGTATTTTCTTGATACAGATATTATATTAATAGAATAATTCTACAATCTTAAAAAGTGAAATGTCATTGATCAAAAGACCATCTATCTGATAGAGAAGTTATTTAAATAACATCAATAATTTTATTTAGAAATTTTATTCAGAGAGAATAAAATCTAGCAGACTTAGAATGATCCTCTTGGTCACCTAATTTATTTTTAATAAATACAAAAATTAAATAAAACATTTAAATTTTATTGAGGAAGTTTTCTTTCTTTTCTGTTTTTAACATATGCCCTGTGGTCTCACAAAAACATAGAATTCTGAGAATACATAAATTATAAGCAGTTTAAACTGTTCTCCAAATTTTATTATTTCTTGACTTTGATAAGAATATCAATTTCTAGAGTCTAGCAATAACAAAAAAAATTAGAATATAAGTTATGGAAAAAATGCTGATAGAAATTTAAATTTTTATTTTAAAATGACAAACTAAAGTAGATGATACATCCCTTCACCATCATTTTAGAGGATTCCATAATAATAGGTAACAGATATAAATATGTCTATTAAATCCAGGTGTTAAATTCCATAATATGATCTTGGCAAAAGATGGCAGAAGAATAGAAACAAATAAATCATGAATGCATAATAAAGTACTTGTTTTACTAGAGAGTAGATATTAATAACTAAAAGTTTTAAAATTGATACACAAAGAATAAATGTTGTTAAGAATCTCAATATTCCAGTCAACTGTTTGAAAAGTATAACTTTCAGGGCTCTGTAGTAGAGCATGTGATTAGCATGTATGAAACTCTGGGTTCAATTCCCTGCACGCGCACACACACACACACATACACACAATATAACTTTCAAAACAGCAGAAAGAAATCCAATCTGTACAAAGGGAAGAAAAAAAAGTGCAAACAGAGTTCTACCACAATAATTATAATAAATATAAATGTGTTAAATTCACCAATATTAGGTTAGAAAATCAAATATAGCAATTTGTTTAAGAAGTTAAATGTGGGGCTGGGGATGTGGCTCAAGCGCGCTCGCCTGGCATGAGAGCAGCCCACGTTCGATCCTCAGCACCACATACAAACAAAGATGTTGTGTCAGCCGAAAACTAAAAAAAATAAATAAATATTAAAATTTTCTCTCTCTCTCTCTCTCTCTCTCTCTCTCTCTCTCTTTCCTCTCTCTCTCTCTCTCTCTCTCTCTCTNAAAAAAAAGTGAAATGTAAGATTGAAAATAAAGAGAAGGAAAAATACCTAATGGGCATGTCATGAACCATAGGAAAGCCAGAACTATAATTTCAAGAAGAAACAAAGTAGAATTCCCTAAAAGAAAAGACTAAATGATAAAGAATAACTTTATTACTGGTAATAATAAAAGTATAATGATCAAAGTAAACAAATGATTCAAGCGTTAAATTCAAATCATTGACTAAAGAACAACCAAAGAAGCTCAAAGGGGTTGGAGAATAATAAAGAGCAGAAATCCATGAAACATCAACTAAATCATAAACTGATTATTTAAAAAAGAAAGTTAGATGAGCCTTTGGCAATATTGTTCAAGAAACTAGACTAGATGCAAATAAGTAAAATACAGAAATAAAAGGAAATGTCTTTTAGACATCAGAGAGTATGAAAATAATAAAATATTATAAACACATACTAATAAACATACAACATGTGTAAGCAGAAATAAAATATGTGACAGAAAATAAAAAGTAAATAAAGAGAAGAAAATTCACCAGAAAAATTAGTCCAAAGTACAAATATTTTAACAGATGAGTTTATAAAATTTTCAACAGACAATATCCTTTATCACAAGACTTCTCAGAGATTTTTTAAAAGTAGTGCATTATATTTTTACATAATAGTATAATTTTTTACATATTTGTACATGCAGACAAACTGGGGGATGAAAGCAATAATCAAATATTTAACAAAAGTAACTCTAGAATTGAAAAACTAGAAAATTTACCGGTTCTTTTTGTGGACCAATGATCTGAGAAAGGAAAAGAATGAAAAATAATAAATCTATTTTGCTTATAAACATAGATGTGACAATTGTTTGAAAGGGTGCACTGATCCCTTCAAGTAGATCAGTGTATAGAATGGATGGAATAAGTCCCTGTTCCTTCTTCCTGTTCCAAAAATCCATTTAACATGTTTTCCTCAAATAGAGAATGTATCAGAAATTAAACTAATAAGAATAGATTGTACATTTGACTTTAGTAAAAATGCCAAGAAGCAATAGCTATAAAAATTTTAAGAAAAATTCAAACAAAAAATATTCAAAAAAATTAAATCATATTTTTAACTATATTGTGATTAAATGGTACTTTTATCAGATAAGCAAATAAAGCTCAACATTTTTCACTTAATCTCACTAAGCAAAAGTTCTGAATTGAAAAATCACATATTTCATTTTCAAAGATTAAGAAAAATTTATTTGATAAAGTTTACCACCTATTTTATTATCAAAACTAGATAAAGACTACATATTAAAAGTGTACAGCAAGCATTATACTCAATGAAGAAATCTGATAAGATTTGGAAAATAAGAGTACTGACTAAAGAATACTTATTTAACTAYAGTTCAGTATAGTTTGGGGGTTGCTTGTTGATACCATAAGAAAATTTTAAGTCTGAGATGAGCAAAATCTGAAAGTGAAAAGATAAAACTTTGTACTTAAACAGGAAAATTTACATAGAAATCCTAGCAAAACTCTCAGATTTGGGACCCATTCAGTGTCAATTAGCTCCTGTGTATCATACGTGGAGGCCGAGGACAAAACTACAATGGAAGCTAGACCAGTAATGGTCCAAAATTAAAGACTCAGGAGGAGTGACTGAGGGGACTGATCCAATTCTGCTCGTTGCTCCAGAGAGATATTTAGAATCACCGTGAGACCATTTATCTCAGCAGAGCTGATAGAGCTGGGGTCCAAGTTTAGGTAGAAAATGAAAGGAAGTTTACTGGCATGGCTGCTCCACCTGTGGGACACTGAGGCAGTTGTGATAAAGTTGAATGTTACAGAATCATCTAAGATAGCTTCAGTAACTGCTCACCCTACTTTATAACAGTGCCTTCACTCCAGTGCAGCGAGGGGAAAGTAGCTTTGGCTGCTTSTCACCGCTTACAATATGTGACCGAATTCAGGAGATATTCCCGTGCCCAGAGGCAACCTCTATAGAAGAATTACAGGCCTATTTTCAGGAACTGGGGATGAAATATGCTATTTGCATGTATGACTTCTACTGCCAAAACGAGGGATATAGTGCTGTTTACAACTCAGTCCATCCATCCAATTAGGGTGCCCTGGTGTTAATATTATCCACATTGGCAGGGCAGCACCTCCAGTGAGAAGTGCAAATTATAGCAGATATGAAAATAACACAGCAGAAAACAGGAGTCTAAAACCCAGCGTAAACTGGAAAGGCATTTTCAAGTCTCCCATAAACAGATATAGGTGGACTTATTTGTAGCAGGAGTAGATGAGAGTAAAATAGATAAATAACCTAATGCTACTCTGGTACAATCATGAAAGCAATCACCTAAGGACAAAAGACTTAAGCCCTTACTCCCCAAGAAGGGAAAAGAAAGAGATACAGTGAGAAATGTAGAATGGACCCCTACTCAAAAAAGGAGGTAAAGACAAACTTCTCTTAGTAGGAGACAAAAGAAAAGCAAAGCCCATGGTTTCCCCTGAGTCTTTCAGCCCTTGGTTGTGGAATGACTAGAGGGGAGGTTGAGAAACAAGTGTCTGAGCCATGTCTCCAGACAGGAGGCTGTGTATAGTACTGGCAACAGACTGGTTTTCAAAAAATATTCAGAGAATAAAAGCATTGGTGGACAAGGGAGGTAGAAGCACATTGATTTTGCATAAGGTAATCCTGAAAAATTACTAAGCTCTGGAAGAGTTTAGTACTCAGTTGGGAATATACCATTGTATACTAGACCTTGTTAATATCTTCTCTAGCATAGATATAACCCTTGAGAGTCAAGACCCA